AGATTTTCCTGTATGGGAAGAGCTGGTGGAAACACCTGCTGCGCCTCGAGAGCAAGGCGCTGAGCAGGATATTCCCCAGGACCCAGGCAGTGTTGCGTCTGCAGCTCCCGATCAGGAAACTATGGTACGTATCATAGCCGAGCAGACGGGACTCAAGCGCGAGGAGGGCGACAACGAGGCTACCTTGCAGGAGCAGGCTCGCCGTCTTCGTGAGGAGAACGTATGCCATGGCGGTACTGAGGATACCGACAACGTCAAGATAGAGTACAAAGGACTGCCAGGGGAAAGGTTGTCTCGGATCGAGATCGAGGGTTTAAGCAGATCGATCGCTTCCAGACCGAACACCGAGATCAATCGTGAGGCGATCAATCAGATCGGTCAGAGCCTCGCTCGCGGTCAGGACACCCGCTGGGGATCCCGCGATCACCTGACTTCGGCTGGGGCCCCCGAGACGATCTTGCATCCCATACCGCTCTGTCAGAATTGCGGTCGAGATCTGTCCCTCGGGATTGTCACAGGTGACGGCACACTTTGCGATATCTGTTGGCAATACACTGTGGCCGTAGGCGCCACAGGCAAGAGCACCGCCACACAGAGCGATCTCGCGTACTTGCAGAAGTTGACGAACTGGATCAAGACGACGTTGTCTGAGGAGCACATCGCGAGATACATGAAGGATGGCGCGCACGTCGCTATGACGGGTGCACGATCGCACGTAGGCAACGAGAAAGATCAGTTGCGGAGATTGGCCAATGCATCCAAAAAGAGGTATCAGAAGTGGGTCGAAGCCGGTAGCCCGCCTGCACACGAGTGCAGATTAATGGGCGAATCCGAGGACGACCGACCTCTGTACTACCCATTCGCCAATCTCATACAACGCTTGCTCAACGACCTCGAGTTCCATCATCAGATGACAGGTGCCCGCGTGAATGTCGGCAAGAAGCCCTGGACCGTCGAGGACATGCGCGACGCGTGGGGCATCCTTGGCGTCAGCATTAGGACAGGACAGGCTGGTCGGAGAAAGTGGTGGCTGAACGAGGGGCGCATTGACAGGCAGACGCGGCAGGCGCGCGGACTGGTTACGGTTTCTCTCCCTCGAAGGGACGGAACCCGTGAACAGTTCACCCAGCGCAAGCTTGCCGCGATCGCCAACGAACTGATAGGCTCCCTCGATCCGTCACACACCGACCAGAGGGGGGTTAGTACAGGGATGAGAACCGATCCCGATACACAATCCCAACAGTCCGATGACGCCATGGAGCCGCGGCCGCCGCCGCGCCCGCCGCCGCGCCCTGCTCCTGGCGACGCTGCTGCGTCCAGCGCCTCAGGCGCGGAGGACTACGCGCCCGCGATGCCGCGCGCCAAGAGAGCACGTACATCTGATTACGCTGCTTACTGGCGCCACAACCTCGAGGACAGCTACTGGGGTCTTCGATGCTGGAGTTACTACATCAAATGTTGGATCTACATTGCGATCAACAACGACGAGTATGTGTACATCCAGGATATCACGTACAACGATTGGTTCCGCAACTGGATCCCGAGGACAACTTGGGAAACGTTTACGACAAGCTACGCGACGTACAACGGCCAGAGGGTGTGGGACCGCAGGTTCTACAAGGACGGCGACGCGTAGTGAGTCGGCCGCAAGGCCCACCGCTCAAGAGCAGAACTTCCTTTCAGCAAAGTTCGCCTTGAGCGGTGGCTAATATATTCTTTTAGGCCACTTCAATCATTCACACAAGTGGCCATACACAAATATATATATATATATATATATATATATACATATATATATATATCTTTTGCGATCACCGAGGCAGCTTCCCAAGGAGCAACGCCAGCGGGAGTCGCCAAACAGACTTTTTATACATCCTTTTTCGTGTTCATCAACACGACATTTTGTCTGGCCAGACACTTGCTTTACACAGATTTGCGTTTCTTTTCAGGATCGTGTTCGTCAACACGATCTTAGCATACATTTGTTTTTAGGCAGACTTGTGCTTCATTTCAAGATTGTGTTCATCAGCGCGATCTTAGCATGCATATTTTAAGAATTTGAACAATATTGCGTCGAGAATAATCTGCTGGCTGGTGGCAACACCTGCCTCGCAAATCTTGCGAGGCAGATTGCATGTTGCCTTAATGCTCAGATCTTCTTTCTCCGCCTACCCTTGTCTCATTCTTCTCCTCCCTCGAGTGCCGAAGCGTTTTTGGGGGGCGCACCGAGGGGGCGCCAAAGTGCGCCTGGGGAAGAAAGGGGGACTTAGGGTATCTCTTCTCACCTCACTTTGCAGCTGTGGCTTCGCTGATTTTAAGCCCCAGCTGCCTTTCTGACTTAAGGACTAAAGGAGTTCAGAGGTTACGGATTCCTTTCCTCTGTTCCCGAGTCCTGCCTTAACGGGCGGGATTCGGGACGGGGGGTGTGAATGGAACCCGTGTAATACCCTCATATATACTCCTTATCCTTACCTCTCCCGCGCCTGGCCGTTTGGGCTCAGGTACTGAGTTGGAGCGATCGTACCTTGATCGCGTGGGAGGGAAAGATATCCATCTATCCCTCCATCTCTCTACCAACGGATCAGGGGTTCTGTACCCTTGTACTTCAACCCCATACACAGGTGGTGGTGGTGGTGTGTATGTGTGGGTGTGTGTGCGTGTGTGCGCGTGTGCGGTGGTGTGACGTGGTGTGGCGTCTTGGTGGTTTGGTGGTGGGCCAGGTGCGTACGTGCGTGATGGCGGTGGTGGTGGTGGCGGTGGTGGTGTGTGTGTGGGTGTCTATGTGTGTGTGTGTGTGTGTGCGTGTGTATGTGTGTGTGCGCGCGTGTGATGTGGTGTGACGCGGTGTAGCGTGGTGGTGGTGGGTGGGGTAGTGCGGTGGTGGTGGCGGTGCGCGGTGGTGGTGCGCGTGCGTGCGTGCGTGCGTTGGTGGGTGGAAAGTGTGCGGTGGGTGTGCGTGCGGCGGGGCGGGGCGTGGTGCGGCGCGGTGGTGGCGGGCGGATGGGCGCGCGAGAAAGAGGCCCGCGCTGGGGCGAGAACGCCATCCTGAACGACGGAGGCAAAACACCGATCCGAAAATGAGGCCCACGCTGCAGCGGGAGCACGATTCGGAACGATTCGGGAGCAGAAATGAGGCCGGCGCCTCAGCGAGAGCAGCATTTTGAAAAAAACGCAGGCGAAAACCCAATTCCCGGGAATCCTGTGTGTAAAAACAGTACGCGGGGGGGGCCTACTACTCCCAGCACGCCATCAGGGGAAGTGGGAGAGTAGTATTCATATTGAGTGATTGTGGAGGAGGAGGAGGAGCAGGAGGAGGAGGAGGAGGAGGAGGAGGAGGGGAGGAGGGGAAGCAGAAACGAGTGATAGGAGGAGGAGGAGGATGAGGAGGAGGAGGTGGAGGAGGAGGAGGAGGAGGAGGAAAAGGTGGAGGGAGGAGGGGGAGGAGGAGGAAGAGGAGGAGGAGGAGGAGGAAGAGGGAGGAGGAAGGGAGGGAGGGAGGAGGGAGGGAGGGAGGGAGGGAGGGGGGAGGGAGGGAGGGAGGAGGGGGGAGGAGGAGGAGGAGGAGGAGAGGAAGGAGGAAGGAGAGGGAGGAGGAAGAGGAGGAGGAGGAGAGGAAGGAGGAAGGAGGAAGGAGGAAAGAGGAGGAAAAAGGAGATGGAGGATTGGGAGGGGGAGGAGGACGATGAGGGTGAGGAGGAAGAAGGAACGAGGGGGAGAAGAGGGAGAAGGAGGTGGAGGAGGAAGAGGAGGAGGAGGAGGAGGAGGAGGAGGAGGAGGAAAAACAGGAGGAGAGGGAGGAGGGACGAGAGAGAACCGAATCGAGTCGGAAAGGTCGAGGTGACCCTTGCACCGACAGCCCGCAGTCGCGCGAGCGCTCGGGCACCCCTCCGGCGCCGCTCAACTCGAAAGGGTCGCTGCCCGACCCCCCTGCTTCCTGGCCTGGTCCCCACCGCCTCCCTCCTGATGATGCTGTTCCTCTTCCTCCTTGTCCTCCCACTCCTCCTCCTCCTCCTCCTCTCACCGGAGGAGTGAGGAGTCAACCAGGGGCGACGTTCGTTGTGACCCAGGCAGGACAACGTCGGGGGGGGGGGCATGCTCAGGGGGGGAAGGCCTGGCCCAGGGGGAGGGGGTCGCAATTTTCCGTTGTTTCGCGGCCTTTGTCTTAAGTCGGGCCTGTCCCTCTACAGGATGAATATTATAAAAGAGTCAAAAAATAGTCAGGGGACGATTCCTTTAAATATCTTTCGTGTATGTTTAAATTTGTTGTGGGTCTTTTTGATTTTTCGCCCAAAATCCGCTTGTAGGGGGACACGCCCGACCTAACTTTTGTCCAGCCTCGCCCAGAGCGTTCGGGGGGTGCTGGAACCGTCCTGAACGGCGGCCGGGTGCCCGAGCGAGGTCTCGAAGGCAACCACGGGCAAGGTAATTAGGGGGGGGATAGGCTCAGGGGGGATGCATGGGCCCCAATCGCCAGTTCCTCCCGCCCCGCCCAGGAGCGTCCGGTTTTGTTATCAATAGCCTATTGCCCGTCTGTCGGCGATGGATCGCCGAATCCAGTTGAGTGTTTCCTTCGCCAGGCCGGTCTCCCCCTAACGCTCCCCCACTCATGTCTCTCGTTGTGATTCATGCGGGGCGTCTAGCTTGAGTAGACAGATGCGAGCGTCATCTGACACCAGAGGGCCCATGTATGCCTAGATTTCCGACGATCTTGCGTTTGGGCATTTAATTCAGGAACCCTGAACAGGTGTGGATGATCGAACTTCTGAGAACATTGATTCGGTATGCCCTGAGATCCGACGCAGCGAAAGAGCGTATCACAGCGACACATTACGACCAGAGCCCTAGACCCCATCTCCTGCATCTCTCCAGCCGGATCGATGTGTGAGGGCCCAGGGGCCCGTATTTTGGCGGAAACGCACGGCGTGAAAAGAGTGCAATGCCCCTATCCCAGGGTGCCATGCTGCAGCGGCGCGGGGTGCCTGCTTTCTTGTGGCCGCCAGGCTGCGGAGCAGTGGCTGCTGCGGATGATCCGGGAGGGCGTCGAGCCCGACGTGGTCAGCTACAACATGTTGCTGTGCCAGGGGAGTGGCGTAGCCGCAGCGGGAGAGGGAGGGCCGAGATGTGAGCAGAGCGGTCTGTCAATTTCAGGAAGCTGTCAGGGGCAACGTTACCAGATCTCCGACTGTGTGTGTGCGTGTTTTTGTTCAACCCGCAGGTTTCTTCGAGTTCTCTCACCTCGGGGGCCGTTTTCGAGGCCCGGCACCATCAAACATGGATCCGGGCTGAAACATTACCCGCAGGGCGTCAGTCTCGCGCGGGGTGGCCAACGGCTCCCACGCGTGGTGCCATCCATCCGCATCAGCAGTTCACGAACGTGCAGAATTTGTTCATTCCTCCCACGTCGTCGTAGAGTGAAGGCCGATGCCAAGAAACACCCTGCTTGCCTCCAGGGTGCCCTGGGTTTCTCGGGTCTCGATGGTCTTACGATGGAAAGCATGGCGTTCCCACACCAAAATGAATGGACGTCCTGGGGTCTCAGGGTTGGGTTTCTTGTGGACTGACTTCACTGTAAAGCAAATCACTTCTCGACGCGGAGCTCCGCAGATGTGCATCTATTGGGAAGGCCCTGCGGCTGGCGCCGCCGACTCTGAAGGGGGACGATGGCGACCGCGGCGATGGCGACGACGACGGCGCTGACGCTCTGGAGCCCTTCGTGGGGCTCTCTTGGAGGCCTCTTGAGATCCTCTTCTAGTGGACCTCTTGGGGGACCTCTTGGGGAGCTCCGTAGCCACGTGGAGCCGCCTCGGAGCGGATCTGAGGCCTCTTGGAGGCATGTGGGAAGATGCGCAGCACGCCGCAACTGCAGGTACAGGAGTGAGGAGTGTGACTGGGGAGCGGCTGAACACTTCCCGGGACCCCCCTGGGGCGGGACCCCCCTGGGCCTCCGGCGACCCCCCCCTTCCCGCGCCCTTGGCATCGCTCGGACGTGTGCATCTTTTCTCGGCGAGGACCATCGAAGAGCATCCTGGATCATCGAGCAACAAAAAAAACACGCACAAAACCGAAAAGCGCACAGGGAATGGACGTCCGAGCGACGGCAAGCCCCAGGGAAGAGATCACAGGGAAGGGGCTTCCCTTCGAACCATTTACGCCGTTCATTGGTTTCCGTCTGGCTGGATCGCTCGGCGAGCGGCGACGGCGACGACGATGGCTCAAACGAAAAAAACGTCTCGCACACGCCAGCAGGGTCGGCGGACTTGCCCACACATGTCCCGCTGCGACAGAGTTTAAGTATGAACAGGTCTGAGTGCAATAGTCTGGGGACTTCTGAGTCTGAGTGTGAGTAAGTCTGAGCGTGGGTGAGCCTGAGGGTGAGTGAATCTGCGCACAGGAGTGTGAGTGAATGTGAGTAGTCTGAGCGTGGCTGGGATCGTGAGAGGTCTGAGTGTATTTGAGGCTGACAGGTTCGAGTGTGAGTGTGAGTGTGAGAGATTTGAGAGTATCTGAGTGTGAGTGTGGGTGTGAGAGGTCTGAATGATCTGAGCGTGAGTGTGAGTAGTCTGAGTGTGAGTGCCATCTTAGGCTACATCTATTTGGTAGCGAACCAGGCAAGCCGCCTGAGGCATCGCCACAGTCTTGGCGCGAATCCTGGGGTGTCCCCACCCTGGCGGCCCTCACTTGGGAGTGCTGAGGCCAGCGACCCGCCCGAGACATCTTCACAGCCTGTCCCGAAAGCAAAGGATGTCGCGCATGGAACAAGCAAACCGCTTGAGCTTTCCGATAATCTTGGCGCGGATCATGGTGTGTCCCCACCCCTGCGGTTGTCCCTTGGGAGTGCTGCAACCAGCGCCCTGCCTGAGACATCCTCACAAATTGCTCCGAAAGCAGAGGATGATGCGCATGCAAACAGGCCAACCGCCCGAGACATCCCCACAGTCTTGGCGCGAATCCTGGAGTGTCCCCACCCCTTACGGCTCCCCTTTGGGATGCCCGATTGCCACCCCTGTTATTTCGCAGTGCGCATTGAGTGTGAGTCAGTCTGAGTGTGGGAGAGTTTGAGCATGAGTGGGTCTGAGTACGAGTGAGTCAGAGCACCAGCGAGTCCGAGTACGAGCGAGGCCGAGTGCGAGGGGTTCTGAGTGTGAGCGGGCGAGTCCGAAGAGGAGGAGGAGGAGGAGGAGGTGGGAGGTGCTGGGGGGGGGAGGAGGTCCAGGGGCGTCTGAGCCACAGCGGAAGCCCAACATGTCGCGCCGGCGGGCGCTGGAGGCCCGGGCCACGCTCCGAGCACCGCCAGGCGTCGAGGAGAGGAGCTCCAATACAGTCGAAAACCCTGACAAGGACGCGCGGCGTTGCTCAGGGTAATTACCCTTGCGTCCTTGCTCTTCCTCGCTCCTGCGTCCTTGAGGTTTTCGTCGTCCGCCGCCCCCAGACCTCCCAACTTCGGCTTCCAAGGGTCCTGCGTCCTCACCGCGCGTCCTCATTAGGGTTTTTGGCTGCGTCTCGGTGGTTGGTCTTTTTGTTCGCTCGGGGCCCCCCAAATGGGGTGGTGACCACACCGTGCGGTGAGTCGGTGGGGATTCAGGGTTCGGGCTGGGCGAAAGGGGGGGATTGGGAAAGGGGGGTTACGAAATCTGCTGCATGCAGCTGGTTTCGGCCTCACCGAGGGGCCCGTTCCTCGATACATGGCCGCCTCGGGAAAATCAGCTACGTGAGCTGATTCTCAAACCCCCCCTTTGCTATCCCCCCCTTTCGCCCGACCCGAGGGGTCACCGCACGGTTTTGGGACTCGGTTCATTCTCCGAGGATGTCTCGGGCGACAGGGGCCTCCGGGGTCCGGAGGCCGTGCGGTGAGGGACCGTGCGGTGAGGTCTCGGGGGAGTTCGAGGTCACCGCAGGGTCTGTCGCCGCACCGCCTCGGGACTCCCAATCCGTTGGCTCCGACGCTCGGTGGAGGTTCCTGGACGCATTCGGGGGGAGGTTTTTGCGTGCTGTTGTTGGCTCTCAGCGGTCTTCTCCAGCTTCGGGACGCCCGCCAGCGGCCGCGCCTCGTCGATCAGGAGGGGAAGAAACACACAGACACAATTCATCGTCGATCCCCAGGAAAATATGGGAAGATATGGGGAGTGGGGGGGAAGACAGAATCCCAGAAAATATGGGAAAATATTGGGAATCATTTTATTTGTGTGTATTTATTTGTGTGTCCTTGGGCCCCTTGAGTCGAGGGCGGTCGGGGCGTGCCGGCATATCGTCCCGAACGGCCGCCGCCGGAGGCCCGAGCTGTGGCATCCGAAAGCCACCGGGGGCAGCGATCTGAGAACGCGTCCGCACTCCCTGGGGGATGCCGGGTGTCACCTGGGAGGGGGGGAGGAGGAGCTAGGGGGGCGAGGAGGGGGAGGAGGAGGAGGATGAGGGGGGGAGGAGGGGGAGGGGGAGGAGGACAAGCTAGGTGCGCTCGCGTCATATCTGACGTCCTACCCCTCCCTCCCATCCCTTACCATGGCGCTGATTTTCTCTATCCGCGGACGCGTGTCGTAGCGGACCTGTGGCTCCGCGCGCGCGTGCGTAGTGGGTGGTGGTGCGCGTGCGTGCGTGCGTGCGTGTGTGTGTGGTGGTGTGGTGGTGTTGGTGCTGGTGCTGGTGGGCTGGTGGTGCTGGTGGTGCTGGTGGTGGTGGTGTGGTGGTGGTGGTGGTGGTGGTGGTGGGGTGGTGGTGGTGGTGGTGGTGGTGGTGGTGCGGCGCGGTGGTGGCGGGCGGATGGGCGCGCGAGAAAGAGGCCCGCGCTGGGGCGAGAACGCCATCCTGAACGACGGAGGCCAAACACCGATCCGAAAATGAGGACCACGCTGCAGCAGGAGCACGATTCGGAACGATTCGGGAGCAGAAATGAGGCCCGCGCCTCAGCGAGAACAGCAGGTTGAAAAACAACTCAAGCGAAAACCCGTTTCCCGGGAATCCTGTGTGTAAAAAAAACAGTACGCGGGGGGGTGTCGGATATCTTCGGGACGCCATCAGGGGACGTGGGAGAGTATTTTCATATTGTGTAATTGTGGAGGGGGGGAGGAGGAGGAGGAGGAGGGGGAGGAGGGGGCGGGTGACGTCACGATGGGTGCCCAGGCGCCGTCCTGGGCAGGCTCTGGGAGTGGCCGGTGCCCACGCGGCGCGGGCGTGGGCCGTGGCGTGTCCATGGGCTGGCGGGAAGGGGGGTGTGGCGGTGCCTGTCACGGGCGCTTCATCTCGGGTCGGGCGAAAGGGGGGGATTGGGAAAGGGGGGGGTACGAAATTTGCTGCATGCAGCTGGTTTCGGCCTCGCCAAGGGGCCCGTTCCTCGATACATAGCCACCTCCGGCGCCGGGAGGCGCCGGGAAAATCAGCTAAGTGAGCTGATTCTCAAACCCCCCCTTTTGCTATCCCCCCCCCTTCGCCCGACCCGATCATCGCGAGTGACAGTCAAAGGAGTCCCATGGGGGCAGCAGGCGCACGGGGGGGGGGAAGCACCGACCCTTGCAGTCGGCCCAGATTAGTAGGTCGCCCCTGCCACGTCAAGGGTGCCCTCGTGTCGTGTGTCTCGCGACCCATGCCCCATGCTGCCTACATTCCTGTGGCAATGTGGCCCTCGGAAGGGTCTTGTGCCGGCACGAACGAAATGGGTACGGAAAGAATGAGCACAATGCCCAACAGCAGCTCCTGTTCATTTTGAACAGGACTCGCTGTCCGCGCCGCCGCGGCCTGTGTCTTTTCGAGACAGAAGGCCGCCTGCCCCACAGCGGCCGCTGTCGGTTTGGGACAGCATTTGTTGTTGGGCATTGTGCCCATTTTTGTCCGTACCCATTTCGGGCGTCCAAATTGTGTCCTCTCGCGCGTCCTGGCCGATAGAGTCCGATGATAAGTCGCCCACTGACCGCCGACATGGGGCCAGAGGGCCCGCCCCGCCCACGGGGCGTCTCCCGCGCGGGGGCCCCCCCGCTCTAAGCTGCCTACGTCGGGCCTGTCCCTCTACAGGAAGAATATTCAAAATTAGCCTGGCGAAGGACCAAACCATATGCAGCATCATATGCTGTTGTGAATACCGCAATT